CGTTTGACTACAATTTGAGACAATTTTCTTAGAAAAAAAAATGTATCTTTTCATAGTTTTCCATTCACCCGTCGATTTGTATTATGATGAATTATTTCACAAGAATTTTCTCTCCTCAACAAGTTGCTCATCTTTTTCGGCGCACCAATTTACGCTCATTGGAAACACATCACGTTTTCGTCAGTTGTTGGAATTGAAGCATCTTCAGACGAAAATCATTTACGACATTTGGTGAGGATTTTTTTCTCTCTCACTTCTTTATAAGACACTTTTTTTCTCCGGGAGGAATTTCAATGGGAGAAGAAGAATAAAAAAAAAATCTCTTTCAACATCATTTCCTGTCAATTCACGCAGTGGATAAGACAGTTCCAATAATTCTCTTTCTTCCTTTTCTGTCCTTTAAGACATCAACAAACCATTTGGAATCCTTTATTTTCCACCAAATTTTCCCTTTCCCTCCTTTTTTTTTCCTCACTCACTCGCCCAACATGAAATGGGAGGAGTAAAAAGCTTGTCCGACATTCGTGAAATCCACACTTGACAATATTGAGATTTCTTCTCTTCCTTCCCTTCTTTTGTGTTGTTTACGACTTTTGCCGGACTTCAGGAAAAACTCTTTTACACTTCGACAGGTTCTGCGAAAACTAGTAAATGTCAAAATCACCATTCTTCTGTGTTATCGTCTATTAAAATGATTAATAATGATAATTTTCAATTATTTTCTATGACTTTCTGTTGATTTTATAGACAAATTTAACGAGATTTTGTGAAATAAGTCGTTTTTTGACAGTTTTCATTGCTTTTATTGAAAATTTTGAATTATTCGCCAAGATTTCATTGTCATATTTTAAATTTTCACCATACAAAATTATTTCCAACAAATGTTCATCAATGAAAATGATTTAAAATGGGATTTAAGGATGCAAAACAACTAAAAAGACACAAGAAAAATATCAATTTGTACGAATCTCTAAATTATCAGTCGTTGCAACATTACAGATTTCGTATTTCAGTGTATAAAAAGTACCAATTTAGTGCTTCAGCTTAACATTTTCTTAACTTATATTGAAAGGATCGAAGAATGCACAATGAAATGTGCGCAAATCGTCATTAAAATTCTTTAAAAATTGGGTTTTCCACCATAAAAAACATCATTATTGTCAATTTCTTTAGTTTTAAAGTGAATTTTTCGGTTTTTAAATACATTAATTGTCTTAAAACGTCAACGTTTAAACGTTTTAGGACTCGCAAAAGACAAATTTGAAATCGAAATCTTGCAACGTCTTTTTACGAATTCATAACTTTGACAGCTTATTTTATATGTTATGAATGTAATGACATTACAGATTTCGTATTTCATTCTGTAAAAACTACCAATTTGGTTCTTCAACTTAACGTTTTCTTAACTTATATTGAAAAAATCGAAAGATGCATATTAAAATGTGCCCAAAACGTCATTAAAATCCTTTAAAAATGTGTTTTTTTTTTACATAAAAACATTATTATTGTCAAATTTCTTGATTTTCACGTGAATTTTCCGGCTCTCAAATTTATTAATTGACATAAAACGTCATCTTCTGAAATTTTTTAGGACTCACAGATTAGTAAATAATATGAATCGTACTCTTGAACACCATTTTACGAATTCATAACTTTGACATCTTATTTACTATGTTATGAACGTAATGTTGCAACGACGCCTTAATTTCTCTAACATTTCTCCTCTGTATTCTATCAAAAATCAACTTTCAATCCCGCGCCATGGCGACTTTTGATAGTTTTCACTTCACCCGTCGACATGTTGGTAAAAAGTTAGTGAAAAGAAATCACTGAAAACTCCTTTAGCTTCGAGCATTGATGGAAAAGAGGACACTTGAGCGTGCGACTCTTGAGACAAGCGAATATCTTATCTCGATGAATTGTTGAGAAAAGCATTGTGAATATCATGAATGCACATTTCTTCTCATTCATACACAAACTTTGATGGTAGCAAAAATCCGTGAAAAGAAGCTCTTTTCCTCTCTCTCTTTAGTATTTGACCTTTGATTAAACAACCCTTTTTGCCATATCACTCTTCTGATTCCTTCACGCTGCATTGACTCTGTGATGAACAGCACACAGAGTAAAAAAAAGGACATCCTTTGACGAAGCGGAAAAGGCTCACATTTCACAGAGAGAGAGGCGAAATTGAGGGTGAAAATCTTCAATAAAAAAAAGGGGGAGAAATTTCATGCTAAAGATGTAAATTCCAAAACCATTCAATCAAACATAAATTCACTTACGCGCGTCACACGAGAGAAATAACCACCAGTCAAAAGGTGTTCTTAAAGGAATTTTTCCATTTCACTCCAAAACTATGTGTTTCAAAATGTATCACCAGAAAACAATATCACCTGAGGGAAAAATTACCGCCACAGCAGCAAATATAGGATGTTAAAATGTCTCTCACAAATTTCTCACCCCTAAAAACACACACAGGAACACAGAACATAGAAAAACACCACACAAAACACTCTCTGTGAACTTAAACGATGGGTGGAAAATGAGAAAAAGGATAAATTAAGTGTGACTTTCAAAATGAAAATTTTCACGTACAATTTCAAGCCGGCAAAAGCGTAAAAAGCGCCTGATTTTCCCGCAAAACTTATACACAAGCGCGTGGTTGTGTCACAACTAAAACAGAGGGATTTTCCTCAACATCACAATGCCGCCCTTCATTTCGCTTTCCACCCAAACTCTCTCTCTCTCTCCCTCTCCTGGCAAATTTCTCTCTCTCTTCGCTCTCTTGGCGATGCCTTTCACCCTGAAAATGGGTGAAAGTGGAAACGAGAGAGAGTGAGAGAGCGCAGAAAAGCCCCTGAGAGAGTCAAGCAATGTCGCTACATAGAAAACATATGGCTCTGTTGCAGTGTTTTGTGGAATGAGTGGCGAAAGAAGAGTATTTTCCCTCCCACTTTTGAGCTCTTGGAAATGCAGAGAAAAAGCACGTGGAAACATTTTCACGCAGTCGCTCAATATTTTCCAGCTGCTGGAAAATATTTGAGTGACAAAAAAAAACCATAAATTAACTCTTTTCTGACGCTCTTTCATCATTTCGCCGGTGAATAAAATGCAAAGAGAGTCTTTTAATTAACATTTCCACACAGATCAATTTTGGTATAAAAGTGCAACTGACAGATTTTGGCTCCTGATCAATTTTCCTACACAGAACCGCCGATGGAAATTTATTCACACGAAATGTGTTGAATTTTATTCACATTAACCACGATTTTCGTGTGTTTCTGACATCATTTAACAAATGTGTGTGAAATTTAGCCTCTAATCTCAATTGCAATCACTGAATTTGACAATCATTCACTGAGTAAAATCGATAAGAATTGACAAAAATTTAATGAAAGCATAAAACTGAGAAAATAACAATTTTTAACAGTGAAAAAGTGAAAATTCTCTTGATTTTCCTTATATTCTGTATGATTTCAAAACGCCTTTTTAGAAAATAATTTTTTTATTTTCAAAAATATTCTAAAATGTTTTTTTTAGTCTTTCAACGAATATTTCTTATTTCTTTTCAATATTTTCACGTGAAACTTTAAAGAAATGTACGAGTAAAATATTAAAACTTGATTTTTAGAACTTTTTTTGGATAAAATCGACTTTAGAAAAATTTATTCTCAAATTTTCTACTAAATTTGTCATATTTAAGTCAAGAAATTCTAGAAAATACCAATAAAATCAACTGAAATATTCACAAAATAATAAATACAGAGCAAAATTTGCACTTTAACGGACGATTTGAAGGCGTTTTGAGGATTTTAAAAGTGCAATTTTGACTTTTCATACATTTTGATTCACTCGTCGAAATGGAAATTCAACTCAATTCTCTGAATTCTCTAAGCTTGCAGTGAAAATAGACATGAAAAATCGTAATCTTCTTCAGGAGTTTTGAATATTACATAAATATAAAGGTCATCAAGTGCAATTTTTGAGTATTTATCAAAATCTCTTTGACCTCAAAATGCGATTAGGCAAAAGTATAAAATGCTCTTCAGCTGCAAAATCAATTTTCAGTTAAAACTCTGAGTGAAACAGTGAAAATATCTGAGAAAGTCAGTGAAAAATGAAAGTTACAATTTTCTTTCTTGGATTTTGTGTCATTTTGGGAGCTACAAAACCTCAAGGTTTATTTGATTTCATCAATTATTAGTGACTTGGAAAGATTCTAACATCATTCAAACTCACTTTCTTCAGGATATTTAGGACTTGTTAAGCCTGATGAATCACAAAGTCCTCCGGAATGTCCAGAAGGACACATTTTCAATGAATTGACTGGTAAATTTCTTGCTTTTTGCCTCAAAATTCCCACTAAAAATTAATAATTTCCAGAAAAGTGCATCAAATCAAACGCAACTGTTGTCGAAGGCGATAAGAAACAGATTTGTCCTGAAGGATATCACTTTGAAAAGGGAATTTGTGCTCCAAACGATCCTTGTCCAACTGGATATCAATTGCTAAATGGCTGGTGTTATCCTCAGAACAATGTGACCAGCAATTGTGGCTTCACTTGCTGCAATCCGTGCTGCAATCCTTGCTATGGATAAGAAGCTGAAGCTTAATCTTCAAATTCTTTTGACCTTTGCACACTTTTTGCAGCAAAATATTGTTATCTCAGCTGCCAAAATTCACACTCACTGTTTATTTACATTTTAATTAAAGCTTTTATCAACGCTTTAGTCCAATTTTGCACTCTTTTGCGTGATTAAAGAGACATTAATTGTTTGTGTTATTGAAATTCGTCGTTCAAAAATAATTAATATTGAGCAAAAAACACTTTATAATCACTAATTAAAGACCTTTCACTTCATTCAAAACGTCCTGTGACGTCAAATGTGATTAGAAGAAGCTATAAAAACCTCTTCATTTGCGAATTCAGCTTCAGTTTCAATCAGAATTGAAGAGAGAAAAGTCAATTTCTTGCAAAGTCGTGCAAAATGAAAGCTTTCTTGACTTTCCTTGCATTCTGTGTGGTTTTTGGCATTGGATCTCATGCAGGTTAATTGATATTTATCTTGAAATCCCAATGAAAATTTTACGCTTTATTTCTTTTCTCACCAGAAATGACACATTTTATCGGAACTTCTTATGCAACTTGTCCGCAAGGATACGAACTTGTTTATGCAAAAGGTTTGTCAATCATTTCATCTTCTGCACAAATGGATAAAGACAATAATTATACTTTCAGGCGTTTGTGTTCAGAAGATAATTGGCGGCTGCGAAATGCTTTGCCCTCCGATTTGCTCCGCCGGAACAATTTACGACAAAAGTGTGAATTTATGTGTGGATTCCAGGAAGTGAAATTTGTGTGGAATTAATCACATAAACCAAGGGGGAGATAATACGGTTAAACAGTGTACAACACTTCCAAACACTTCCACAATTCCTCTGCAGAATCTTCAACACTTCCAGACACTTCTGAACGCCTTTAAAAATGCAATTATTGTCTTGATTTTCTAGTTTAATCTTTAGAAAATGCTTGAAAAAAATTCTGAATAAATTGTGAGGTTATGAATTTTGGCTTAAGAAATACTTCAAGTCTGAAAATCAATAAAAATGGCGAATAAATAAGATCAAGTTTACCACTTAAGAGCACAAATTACAATAATAATTACACAAAGAGAATTCTCTGAGACATCTTTGAGGTTATGATTGACTTTTAAGCTGTTTTCTAACCTAACCTTAAGTTTTTCTGAACCCAAATGCTTAAGTTTGCCAAGAAAAGAGAAGAATTCTGAGTTTAAACACAAATTAGATGATTTTGAGGGTTATTTTTATCACATAACCTCAAAATAAAGCGATCAAATTGATTTTTCTAGGCAAAAATTATTCTTAAAAATGCCTCAATTTGATGAAACTGAAATTTTTGCTGTGCAAATATTCTTGTACAGTAGAAATCGCGAAAATAACCAAGGCAAAGAGACATTTTTCCGCATTTAATTGATATTTTTGAGGTTATGGTTGACTTTTAGGCTTTTTCTCAATCAATATGAAGTTTTTTCGCACTAAAATGCTCAAATCTTCCAAGAAACACAGAAATTTGATAATTTCATATATTTTTCATTAAACATAACCTCAAAAAGGCAAGAAAATTGATTCTAAAGCAAAATTAATTAGGAAAATGCCTCAATTTGATTGAAATGGAAGCTTTTTCAGTGCAAATATTGTAATATTTTTTGCCATTTCCTCTTCTAAACACTTCCTTTCAAGCTGTACACCACTTCCGACCATAATATCTGCCCCTTGACATAAACAATAAAGTGTTTATTGAAAAATCTCCTGTGTTTTTGTTACGAGACTTAAATCCAAAGTGTGAGAGTGATTTAAGGTTGTCACACTCAAAAAGTATTACAAAATACACTCGAATCATTCTTGTCAAAAGTCACGCTGCATGTTTTCATTTGTATTTTTGCATCAAAACTTATCCGCTGAGTCAAAATACACTCTGCAATATTTCCAGTATTGATAAGGATTCTGGGAAATCCCATTATCTATGTTTTCCTTTTATATCGACAACACAAGAGCAAAGAGAATTCCGTTAAAATTGACAAGAATAATATCGAAGATGACGAATAATTTCTTCATATTTCTTTCCACAATTCTATATTCATTGAAAGAAAGAAACATTAAATAATCTCAAATGAGAGATTTTTTTTTCTTTCTTTACTTCCATCAGCGATTAGCAAGAGTATAAAATGCAGTTCAGTCGCGACATCAAATCAGTCTCTATTGTGAATTAAACAGCAAAAAGTTGCTAATAAATTGCAAAATGAATATTCTTGTGATCACAATGGCTCTCAGTGCGATTTTTCACTTTTATTGAATGGTCCGTGATTTTTCACGGACTTCATTCCAGCTGGGAATACCCAAAAGGATAAAATGTTGCGCGAATCTCAGAGTAAGTTCGATGCAAAATGCATTCTAAACCATTAAATCATGTGCAAATCAAACTGTATTTCAGACAATAAATGCTACTTCATGGACTTCTTGCCACTTCCACTTCGACATCCGCCAGACAGATCATGTCCTGAAGGATATTACATGCACGAAGAAGCATGTCACTACTCAAGAGTCGTTGTGGAACATCTCGTGAGTGAAAGTACTCCAAAAAAACACCCCAAAATCACATTAAAAATACAACAGAGAATGTAAAAAGGATTACAAACAATAAAGGATTCATTTGAAAACCAGCAAAATTTTCTCGATTGATAAGAAATGCAGAGAATTCGACGGGTGAATGGAAAACTACGAAAAAGTCGATTTATCATAGTTTTCGTTTTATGTATTTTTGAAAAGCCTTTCATTTGTTCTTTCTGTACAAGAATTTTAAGATTTGTATCTTATGAGAAAATAGCAAAAAATCCTTTTCATCTAAAAAAGCACAAATGGAAAAAAATTGTCATGTTTTGCGAATGAAAAGTCGAATTTTCATTATTTACGCTGAACAATTTTTCCCCAAGAAAAATGTCTCAAAAATTGCAGTCAAATGCATAAAACGTCTTTTTAGAAAATATTTGTAGATTTTCAGAATTATCCTAAAATGTTTTTTAGACTTTAAATGAATATTTCTCATATCTTTTAAATTTTTTCACTTGAAAACATTAAGGAAAAATTCAAGTCAAGTATGAAAAACTGATTTTTTTAGTACTATTTTCGATAAAATCGTCTTTGAAAAATTAAAATTTTCTGATTTTCCATTAATTTTGACATATTTTAGTCAAAAATTCCAATAAATACTGATAAAATCATCTAAAATATTTACAAAATCATAAATTCAGAGCAATATTTACACTTTAACGGACGATTTGAAGGCTTTTTTTTAAGACAAATTTGGCAAATTTTGCCGCGATATTGAAGCGAAGTCTTGAAAATGCTGTGCTGAGAAATTGCGTTTTTGGCTTTTCATAGTTTTCGAGGCACCCGTCGAATTGCAAACATTAATTTACTACATTTGTCATCATTTGACTGCAAAACATGCGGAAAAGTGAGATAAAAAGCATTTTTACTCGCGAATTGGTGAATTTTCATATTTTTTAGGCTATCAAACATTATCAAGTATTCAAAAAAAACATCTTTGACCCCAAATGCGATTGTGAGAAGTATAAAATGATCTTCGAGTGCAATTTCACTTCAGTCTTGATCGGAATTTAACAGTGAAAAGTGGAAATTTCTATTCGAATCGTGCAAAATGAAAATTCTCCTGATTTTCCTGGCTTTCTGTGCCATTTTTGCAGCTGCAATTTCGACTTCTTTGACAGCTATAAAATTCTTATGAATTTTTTCAGGTATTTATTGTCTGCCAGGATCTTTTAACCTTCGCGGCGAAGGTAATTCTTATTCATTTTCCAATGCATTCAGTCAATAATCGATGATTGTGAATTGACAATTCATTCTCTTCATAGCATTGAAACACAAGATAGAAAAAAACCACCCCTAAATTCCTCTTCATTCACATCTCGTCAAATATTCACACACAAATTGGATGAAAGCAGACATATCAATTGAATAACATCGTCTTATCGCATCTCAAGGAGCGAACGCGAAGGCGGAGAAGAAAATCCCACCCAATAAGTTTTATTCACTGTTGGCAATTTGTTCTTCTGTATATAATATGAATTTTCCACACCGCACAATTTTGGGACTAAGTAGCCTTTAGCAGAAGACATGCAGAATGTGGTGCCCAAGATAATATATCGACCATCTATACTGATTTATCGTGGTAAATAAAACAAGAAATGCCGCAGACAACTTTTGCGAGGACGACGACCAGAAAATACACCTTAAAATGCACCAAACATCCTCAGCCATTCACGGGCGGGCGGCAAAAGTGTGGAGGAAGAAAAATTGAGCAGATTCCCAGGGAGGAAAATGCTCCACTTCGACTCCGGGAAAATTCAACAGGGAGTTTAGTTGAATTTTTCATATAGTTTCTCCCTCACTCCTTCTCATCCCCTAAAAACGTGAGAGAGAAAATAAGAAACACCTTCTTTTTTTGGTTAGTGAAATCATGAATTTCACCCCATTTTTTCCTCTTTTGCACACACACAAAAAAAAACACTCATGAAAGAGTAAAAGTGACGCATTTAAAGTCAAGCAAGAGGAGATAAAGGAAAACTTTTCCAATCTAATATTAAATGCGAATCATGTCTTTTTTCTTCCAACTATTTCACAATCCTTTCACTGTATTTTATTCAAAAAACTGCTCCAAATTCTCTCTTTTCTCTCTCTCTCTATTTAAAATTAAATTCACTTGTGCATAGAAAGTTAACGAGCAATTTCTGCATTGATTGAAAAATTTGTATTGAAAACTTCATCAGGAGCTGCTCAACAATACACTCTTCACGTGTATTGGAAAATCATTTCATCGAGAAAAGTAATTGAGAACTTTTCCTCCGCCCATTTCATTCCACAATACATTATAATACTTGAGATATATTCTATAAGAGCGACTTTTCCCTTTCACAGACTGAATTTAAGGGCGAAGAATCGAGACAGAGAAGTGAATTTGTGTGGTTGAAAATTGATTAATATGAATTACAACTCTCTCTCTCTCTCTCTTTCTGCCAAATCAGAGGTTTCTAATGTAGGTTTTCAATGCCTTCGTTGAAGATTTAAACCTTAGAAATATGCCCAAAAATTAGAGAGTTGAGAATTCTGTGTGGAAAATGGATTTTTGGTGTCAAATTGTCTCTTCTAGAGAAGTTTTAGGTCTGAAGATAGATTTTAGGGCTTTTTGAAGTTCATTTTTATATGAATTTCAGACAGAAAACTTGGCAAATGAATTATATTCTGTAAATACTTTAAGAAAACAATACAAATCTCTGTTTAAATACAGAAATTAGAAGATTTTGTGGACGGAAAAATGATCTTGAAGTTAAGTTTAAGAAGAATATTGAACGATTTAAGGACATTTTACGTTTTTTCTCCACTTTAAAGTTCAGATTTTCATTAGCATTTATTAAAAATTGTCTTATGCGCAAAAATTAAGCGTTTTTCCCAGTTTCACACTTGTTTTTACAGTAAAACCTTGGGTAAAATCGTAAATATCCGATTAAAGAACAAGTATTAAAGTAATATTGTCTATTCATTGTTGTTTTCAAGCTGTTCACCTGAGAAATAATTTTATAAATAGATTTTGAAGAGATAACAAGATAAAGTATCTTTTTTAACCAAAGATTCATGAAGAAAGTAACATTTTTTTAGCTCTTGAATTGGCATCTCAAGTCAAAAGAAAAGTGACACTGCATCCCCAATATTATCAACCCCTTTTGCTTCCACACTTTGCATTCCTGGCAATTTCCAACCACCCACAAAATGCAGTGCACAAAACAAGGCGAAAAACAGTTCAAATGGCAATAAATCTTATTTAAATTTCTCGCTGAGGCAAAACTTTTGGCACCAACTCAAAATCGCACACCTTCAAAATCGCTGCCAGTCAGAAAAAAGCCATTGCATTTCCCACCCTTAAATGCGCCCTTCGTCAGACATTGATATCATTTGTATGATGACTCGCTCAGAGATTTTCCACCCTCATTCGACATTCGCCACCCTTTGCAAAACGCCCGCAAAACACTTTGAATTGCCATTCAGAGATTGCTGATGCTGCACAAGCTCAAACCTTATCTCGCCTTCTTTACTTTGCCCAATCACCCTTCGCTCTCACTGTATTTGCATTCTTAATCACTCGCCCACGAAAGCCACCCTCTCTCTCGCGCTCTCGGCAAGCAACTTCTTCAACCCCTTCGGGCAAAAAATGCTCTCTTATCCACATCATTACAGAGCGCTTATATTTTTTTTCTCTCTTCCTCCTCCAACTTGCTCACAAACCAACACAATGAAGGCTTAAGAGGTAAATTGACACAGTAAATAATTTATCATGCGAACATAAAATGCCTCTTTCTCAAGTCCATCCATAATTCTCCATCAAAGCCACTGACTTTTTCGCCCTGCGCCGCCAAAGAAGGTAAACAACTCCGAACAAGAATTCCTCCACTAACTTTTGTGACAAAATCAGCTTAAGTTCCGCACAAGGGGAAGATATTTTATGATCACAAGATGGTTTTTCAGCAATTTTACCCAAATTCAATAAGAAAATAAGCTTAAAAATCAATCAATCTTGCGCTTAAACAGCAATTGTTGCGTAAAAATTGTCGATTTCGGATTTTTTATCAAATTCTAAACAAAAAGAAACGCTTAAGATTAATTTCAGACAGTTTTTCAACAAGTTTTCTTAATATATGATAAAAAGTTGAAGGCGAAAAACGCAAAAAGACTGTTTTTAGCACAAAATAATTGTTAACAACATTAATTTTTAATAATTGTTGCCTAAAAATCGTCGATTTCTAGTTTTTTATCCATTTCTAACCAAAAAGAAATGCTTAAGTATTATTTTATACCATTTTTCAACATGTTTACGAAAATATCTCTTAATTTATAATCAAATATTGAAGGCAGAAAATGCAAAAAGACTGTTTTTAGCACAAAATAATTGTTAACAACATTAATTGTTGTAGAAAAATTGTCGATTTTAGGTTTTTTATCACATTTTAACCACAAAGAAATGCTTAAGATTAATTTCAGACAGTTTTTCAGCAGGTTTTCTAAAACATCTCTTAATCTATTATTAAAAGTTGAAGGCAGAAAACGCTAAAGAGTATTTTTAACACTTAATTTAATTGTTATTTTAAGATGAAAAAGGAATTTTTAATACACTGTCAAACCTTTGAAAGTGTCTTTACACAATTTTAGCCTCTTATTTCCCCCTTTTCTTCCACGTCCAATTGAATTTCCATACAAAGTCCGCGTGCAATTTTCATCACATTCAGCCTCACATATTTTTGAATTTCCCCAAGAACGTCGCTTTTAATTTCCATCCCTTCGTGGCACGTGAAGTGAGTTTGAGTGCCTCCCGAAGGCAATACAGCATCCTTGGGAGGTCCTTTGCACAGCGAGCGCCGAGTGGATGAGGAAAAAAAGGAAGCCAGCTATACAAAGTATCATTCACATTGTCTCATTGGAGTTGCGCCACTTCAATTCCCGAAGGGTTTACACACCGAAAATGACCAAAAAAAAAGGTCCTTTTGACCTCAAATCATGAGTTTGTGAGTGAAGAACCGAAAAGATGTGAATTTATAA